GGGAGAAAGAGAGAGAGAGAGAGAATAATTTACACCTTCATTTGGTAGGTTAGCAGTGTTAAAGGTTAAAATGAATACAAATATCAAGAAAAACACCTAGGCCTAATTCAAAAACTTATCTTTACCGATGACTCCGAAGCGTGCAGTAACGTGCTAAATTCTTCATCCGAAATAAAAAGCAACTTAATAATAATTATGCAAAGAGAAGTGCACCATTATAGATGTGTACTATGGAGACGAATCTCCCAAAGCAAATAGACAGTCCTGTTCCATGTCATTACGACTGTAACAGCAGATCACTAACTATCGACTGTGTAACTAATTAATGGAAGTTGTTCTTATTTAATCTGAGATACTACTGCGTGTTATTTAACCCTATCTGTACGCCCTGGGGTCATTTTGTACCCCCGGGGTTGTATTCTTCACATTTTAAAATACTTCTAGAGCGAAGATCTCCTTGAAACTTTCAGTATTTCTCAAACATTTTATCAGACTGCTATGCAAAGTGTACAGATCGTATTAACGAGTAAATTTCCTCTTTTGGAAAGTGGTGGCACTGAGTTCCCCACGTCGTATGGATACGACAGTAAAACGCGACGTGTGAATGGGGTTAATCTAAGATACTACTGAGAGATTGTTTATCTTCAAATCACTAAAATGGGTGTGTGTATGTTGAGAGTACGTATCTGAATATTATAATAATAATATGATTTTACGCGTTCACCCCTGACATGACATTGCACTCTTGAGAACGTGCTCAATGACACCTTTAATAATTCTTTTATCAACAATTCCCAATTATCCGCTCGTTATCGGGAAGTCTTTGTCCAGTAGGAAAGTCTTAAAAAGCATAGTTTTCCTCGTTCCTTGGTCACGACTCATGAGGCCTATTAGAAAAATTGTGATCGATTTGACATGGCAGTAGATGTTTTAAGCCCCCCCTCCCCCCGATTAATATTGGTGTAAGTTTATTACTTTATTTATTGGCGCCTGCACTAGACCCACCAGGCTGTCCTGATGAGCAGGACAAAACTCTTATTATCTCGCGTAGCGAAGCCAGACATTTAGAAATAGGTCGTCATCAGAGCCTTAGACATAATCTATATACATGTATATAAAAGTGGACTTGGGAGGCTTTGTGCACAAACTCCTCCCTTATTACCTAACCCACACCTTTGAAACTTTGCAGGCGTCCACAGCATCCATGTTGCTAGGACCTAACTTTAAAAAATCCACGCAAACTGCTTTCCCCGATTTTTCCAAAATACTTTGTTTCGTCCACACAGAGTTCTAGCATTTCAAAGCAGTTGAATTCAGTGTTCAAGACATATAAGACTTCCGTTCACATGCTGTGCGCACTTAACCCACAATGACTTGACGATTAGATCGTTGATCGAACGGGGTACTCAGCTAGTAATATTATAAAGCTACACCGAAATACCATATAGGGGGTGGGGGGGGGGGGGCTGATTCTACGTGATGGCATTGTGTTAGTGTTTGTTAACTTTCTACTGATAATATGCTATCGGAACTTCAAAACGGTGAGAAAAATGTGGCAAGTAAATTTTGTAATAATGTTCACCGTCGGTGCGATTGTGTTCATGAAGAAAATGAATGTACTTGGAGATTTCTGAACGTGTGTGTCTTCAAGTTCAAGTTGTTGCTGTCTGCAGTTCTCCACGAGCTACAAAACAGTAGGGTGGATGGTCTTCTCACAGTCCGGACTTTGTGAAAACAGATTTCTTTTTTCTGGGGTTCCGCTCATTAAAACTTTACATATAAGACCCTCAAACAAATGACGAGTTGAAAGAGATTACAAGTTGAAAGAGAGTATATTGCTGATCAAATTCACTACATCGACCACCACTGAAATATTCGAGCGATTCTCAGCTTTCAAAAACAACTGCATAAACTTTACGGTTGAATAACATTGTTTGAATCTCTAAGCGTGATCAACTTTTTAAAAAAGAAAACTGTGATGTCAAGTGTTATTATAATAAATTTAAACTTTGATGCAGAAATTCTATGAAATGTGGCATGTGTTGCAAATTTCGGCATCATTTTTGTGTTTTCAATTTAAAAAAATAAATTATATTGCAATTTCTACTGCTTTGTTAAAATGCTGCCATTTCAAAAGGCCAAACTGAATGTGACAATAGTCACTTTTCACGCACTGTCACAGCGTTGAATGTTGTTATTGCAATAAAATTCTGATATAAGTAATTAAAAAGTATTCAAGCTATTTGCGTTTTATTTTCAGACATTTTTTTTCGGCCACCTTGTGTATTCTGCAGTCGTTGAGGACCAGAACTATGTATCTGCGACTCGTGACAAGTGTGAATCTGCTCTTTGCAAAACAATAGAGGACAAAGCTCAAGAAGTAAAGAGACAATAAATTCCCTTCAAGAGACTGTTGAGAAAGCAAGTCACAGGATCTGGTTGAAGAGAGAGGAAGCTTGCGGGAACGAATCCTGATGATAGTTGACAGCTGACTGGGAGTGCCCACTTGAGAGGTCGGTTCTCGAAAAAAAAAAAAAACATTCGCCAACCGATCACTCGAGTCGTCGCCTGAAAACAAAAGCGTTTGTTTATGGTCACTTTTAAGCTCAAGGGGAGCTATCCCGAAAAATTCTGTTTGAGAAAATCGAAGGTAACGTTTTTGCCCCTTGGTTCAGTTTCTTTAAAAGACAAGGAGAGTTTTCTCTACAATAAAACAAATATACACACCAATGAAACCAAACTTCTCTAATAGGTAGGGCAATGCCCACTTTTGGTGTAGATCAAGATTTCTGGAAACCCTCGAAATCTGGGTAAGCCGGCTTGTCCTTAAAAGCGACCATTTTGAGGTCGGGCGATTGGTTTGTGCCACGATGGTCCCTTTGCACTCTCAATGTAGATAGCAAACCGAACCGAACTGAACCAATCGTGCCCATGGGCACTGGGTATAAGACATACAGTCAGACTAGCAAGGAGACCTCACATCGGTTAGTTTTAAAAGTTTTAGTAGAGGTTTTACGGCGCTCGCAACTGCACAAGGTCATATGAGCGCCAGGAGATTAGACGTGTTACAAGAGAGTGTCGAACATAAAAAAGAAGATAGGAAAGAAGAAGCAAACCACACCAGAGCACCCGCCAACCACCCACACATCGTTGAGGGGGCTCGGTTCGTCACAAAAGCTGTAGAGAGGAAGGGCCCGAAACAGCGACGCGTTCTCTCCTGATAATCTATAGATCTTAATGCTTGAGTCCGGGATACGGAGCTTTCGACTGTGAGCAGCTCATAAAGCTGTTTCAAACTTTTTCTTTTTTTTTTTTTGGGGGGGGGGGAGAGGAAGGGGTAAATGTTTTACGGCGCTCGCAACTGCAGAAGGTCATATGAGCGCGTGGGACACGTTAAACATTTTCAGTTTGGTAGGAATTTGAATTTTCTCCCTGATGGCGGCCGAAGCCTACTCTTATCAATTTTGGACCACCAAGGGATCTTTAACGAGCGCAACGTGCACACGGGACCTTCGAGATTTTTCGCTCTTCTCCGCGGAGGGGCCAAAGGGGAAGGGGTAGGGGGCTGAAAATGGAGACGGAAGCAGACGACAGAACATGGTTAGAGAGATGGAAAGGGGGTGAAAAGAGAGTATTTTAGAGATTTTGTATTGGTTAAGAAAACGAAGGTTAAACAGACGCCTTTAGGGGGTCCACAAAATTCACTAGCGCCGTTTCACATATGCCGAATATTATAATTTAATGGAACAAGTATTTTTAAAAAGTTTTGTGTTTCACGGCACTTGCAACACAATAAGGTCATATAAATGCCGCAGATTAGAGGTGCTACAAGAGAGTAACAAACACTA